CAAACAGTTATTTGGTTCACCCTTTATGTAACCCTTTTCTGTTAATGAGAGACCTTTTAAATTACAACTGAATCGTTAGAATTTGCTTGATCATCAACTATTCTATTTTTATTTAGGCTTCTGCCCTTGAACATGCAACCAACACTACCTTGATACACAAGAAAATTCGATTGTCTGCTGACACTCTCGCTTGGGAACATGAACGATATTCAATCAGGCGTCTTCCTGCTGTCACATTGTCATCTCTGGAATCTTTTGATGTAAGAAATTTTGTTAAATCAAAGATTGACAGTTAACATTATATCGAGGGATGGTCAAAATTAAATAATTCACTATTTTGACATAATATTTTCGGATATGAAATATAGAATATAGTCTATATAAGATCATTATCAACAGAAAATATTGCAATTTTTAAATACATAAAAATTACATTTTAGTACTGCGGAATAGCTGAGATAAATTTAAATATTTTTAATTGATTGCCTATTTTTTCACAGTGTCATAAGTAAAATTAGGTCTAAAGGCTGAATACAATCAATTTTGAATGCATATGTATATTAGTCTTATCCATCTTACGACCCTCGGCTGGAATTTTCATTTTTGACCAAAAAAATTTTTTTTTTTTGTGATTCAGAGACCAAAGTTATAATTATTACTCTTTCTATTTACAGGAGACTGCTAGGTTTTCAGTTATGGATCAACGTGGCACTGTAAATGACGATACACTGATGCAAAACATTCGAATCATTAACGAAGCTGTATTGAGATATATTTACAATGTTCCTACTGTAAGTGAATTTTCTACTTGGTTGATTATACAGGGGCATTTGATAAGTCAAACTTCAGTTTGCCCATTCAAATGCCCATGTATGATCAAACAAGTAAGTGCTTGATATTGTGGAATATTTTTCAATTCGTTATAGGAAGGAAGTAGGCTAATTTCCTTATCCTAATGATAGTTATCTCGCTGTTCTATTACTAACATGTAGTTAAGTAAAAAGTTTGCTATTGGTATATTTCCCAAATTCATGTATGATCTTTTTGATATGTAGGCTCATATCCAAGCCATTTAAAAATTGACTTCAGCAACGGACTTCCGAAAAAATCTACTTAGAAGTCTGAAATTGGGGGATGGAGTACATAATATTGAAACAAATGAAATGTCACTTATTTGTATTTCGATTATTATTTGTATAATGATTTATCAGTACATCAAAACAGATTTACTTGGTGATAAAATTAGGAAAAATTATTGTTGTTATTGTTTTTGGAGTAAAAATCAGAGCTTGCTTTCAAATTATCAATTGTTAAAGAAAGAAGCTTTCCAGAAGGCTAAGTTTTCGACATGAATTTCAAGAAACTTCATGACCATATGTGTTAGGACTTAGGAATGGGCAAATTACGGGCCGGATCCGGCACACCGAAGTGTATCATCCGGCCCACTTGCGTCTGCTGGAATTACGACTAAAGTTTTTATAGGTATAAATTCACATCGAAAATATCGATGAAAATGACATCACAATAACCCCGATTGTTAAATTGTGCCTCTTATTATTTTATAAATGTTAAATGTGGTAAATAAACTGTTTTTTCTTTATAGTTTTTCATATTGAGTTTTGAGCCTTCAGCCCAGTAATGTAGTTTATTATCTGTAACTGGCCCACTCAGAAAAGTAGTTGCTCACCCCTGATATATATAGTTTTACACTAATCTTTTTATTCAGGATAATGAAGATCGAATATCCCATGGTGATTATGAAGTACATAATGAGTATGTTTCAACCTGGTTAGATTATCTTGCTTCACAACCAAGACCCGAGCAAGTAAGATTTATTTTTTTTTTTTAAATATAACTTTGTGTTATAATATTGCTGTTACATGACTATAAATGTGGAATTTTAATCAATGGAAAATTTGGACTTTTATTTGTATATAATTGTATCCAAAAGTTTCGTTATTCAAGGACGCTTAGCACAATAGTTACGTTTTCTGTAGAATATGTTCTAAATGACATGGGTACCCTTCTGGGGATCACCCTGTACTCCAGTATTCTAATCGTGAAATCTTAGATTTCTCTAGCTAGTTGAAAGTTTATTTTCTTTGGGGCAAATATTTTCGCTCTCTAATTTTTTGTCAATTTTTTAGGACATGCATGAGAAGCATCCTGTTGTTACATCGTTAGAATCTGTCTTTCAAAAACATTTGAAAAATGTACAAAAAGTCTCGTTCAAGGCAGATAAAAGGTAATTTATTGTGAAATATTACTAAGCACAATTTAAATTGTAGTTTTACAAGGCTTACAAGAATAGGTACTCACGTAGTGTGTATACCAGCCTACCAGGTTAGGGTTGAGCTATAATTTTATTCCAATTTTCCTTTATTTTAGTTCTATTATGAGTTCAGGAACTATCTGTGTTAACCAAGTGAATATACCCCCCTGTACATAGGTTTCAGTCCCTTCGCACAACTTGACATAAAGTAGTCGAACTACACACACTTCTGGAGCGCTCAAGAATAAGTAGAACACTTTGTTCAAATATTGACTAGTGGGCGTGGTGGCCAAGCTAGAGCATTAGACTTACGGTAACTCATATGGAATCACAGCCATCACAAGGTAAAATCTTGGGTTCAAATTCCATGCACACGACATCGCCCAGGGCAGGGTTTCCCAAACTTTTTGGGCAGCGGACCCCTATTTGAGAATCCTAATTTTAACGGACCCCCACGCTTTGCCGAATCAATTTCAGTGCCTAACCGGACCCCAGTTTGGGAAACCATGACCCAGGGTGTAATAAATTGTTTTTGTTGAACATCTTCCAAGGGAAATAAGAGCTCATTATCATTATATCCAGCTGTGATTGGAGATTTATTTTTATGAAATTCTATATATTTTGACACCCTATATTTTTTCGTTTCGCTTCTTAACATGTCACAGGATGATTTTTACCAGTAATACAATAATATTTAATTTGTTTGTTAACATTTTCTTTTTGGAATATTATTTTCCGCAGTTATATTCAGTTTCATTACTCTTAATAAATTGTTTTGTCATGATAATGTGCATGTTTGATAATAAACATTTATTTGTAGGGATCCGGAATTCGTTTTGTACGATGGATTACAAAGACAAATGAGTGCTTCTATGGTGCGATCAGCTGTTTTTGATCTCTACCTCAGTGTAATCATTGCCTCATATGTCACCCTTGTCTTTTTCGCCATCTCGGTGAGTAATTTTTCGATCGTTAGATAATCTTCAATCAGATGATATGATCACTTTTGAAGTGTATATTTTTAATGTACCACAGACACAACACAGTATTGCACAGCACAAATCTTACTGCTTATTTAAATAGCAGACTTGTGTCTGGCTCAAAGGATGTTTTTATTATAACCACCAATATGCTACACATTTTGCACACAACAAAAAACTGAATTTGTCAGAAACCTTTCAAATGCTTTAAGACAGGGGTCTACAACCTGCGTCCTGCGGGCCAAACGCGGCCCACTGGGAAAAATTGTGCGAGTAAAGCCCATACCTGGGTCCAATTTATTATCTATGTCTATGCTATGACATTACAATCTTCGTGTATGCAATTACTATGTCTATGTTAAATGAATGAGCGGCATGCGGTTTCACTCAGTTATTTGTATCTGGCCCTCCATTATTAATAAAGGTTGCACACCCCTGCTTTCATGTTTTTAATATTTGAAAAGCTCCAATTCAAAAATAAAAATAACTATTTTTATCATTATATATTCATCATATATATGCTGACTTTCAGCTTATAATTTATGTAAAATGCAAAATCATTCTGAATGACTTGACCTGGTTCGATAGCTTGATCCTGTCATAAAAACTGTTTATAAGGCCTCTGCAAATATTTACTTCCTTGTTGTGTGTAAGCATATATTTTATATCCAATTCTTCCAAATGAGATGAATGTGTATTTATGGCTCGATTTTCTTATAAAGTTTAGTTTGTTGCATTCGAATATCGTGGATTTCTAATTATTTAGCTCTAAGTTTATTACATACAAGTCATTCTATTTTCAGAAATTCTCCGTTGTTCGAGGAATGGCAACAAAGCTGAGCAACTTTCAAAAGATAAAAACATCATAAAATGCTGTAAAGTTTGACCAAATTGAACTTTTTAAAAGACTTATTTTCGTGAGTGCTATCGAGCTGACTAGAACAATTAGATTTGATCAAAATAGTATGACTCGTGACTATTTGTATGATAGATGACTCATGACTTTTTATAGGATTGCTTCATCTGACATTCGCCAGAAAAAAAAGTCAATTTAATTCTTTTATTGTTACAAACCATGTTTAGAAAAAACTTGATAATGCATCTGCCGTACAAAGATATCTGGCTTCATGAAAATGCAATCTCGTCCAAAGAATTTTTTTTGTTTTAATTATCCTGTCATAATTAATATTGCAAATATGATGTTCAAATCTTTCATTTTTTTTGTATCATTTTTTGTGCAAGTGGTATGAATTGATTTTTTTGCATTAATTTAATTTTGTTAATTGTTGAAATAAATTGGCTGCCGATTGATCAAAAAATGGTAAAATTTGTTGGGCGTTTTGGGGCAGAAAATATCTCTTACTAATATTAACTATAAGGTGTAATTGCGTCAGTGACACTGCATAATTGGGGTCAGAGGTCATATTTTACAACTATACAGGAATAACATTTATATCAGCCCAAATGAGAATCACATTAGTAAAATAAATTGTACTATATTTGCAGAGCCTTCGAAGAAGTTATAAAATTTCATTTCATAAAAATTTAAGGTGGTATATATATATAAAACACAGCCTTGTGTGCTTTGTCAAAGTTTCATGCTCGGCCGGGTGTAAAATATTTAGCGAAATCAGCTGTATTCTCAACTGCTATTTTTATCTCCTCAATGTTCTCAAGAGGTGTTAGTAGCACTCTAAGTAGTTTATTTAGCTCGGCACAGGGAAAGAGCATTGTTCCTGTCTTTTGTTATTTGTGTTTACTCAACTTCTTGTCCTCTGAAAGAGCAATCGTCTGTCATCTTTGGCGGCGCTCGTTCGGGTGTAAAATATTCTCTTTTTATTCTATATTTGACAATTCTCTCTCGTCAATGTGTATTGTGTGAATGTGAAAATGACAACTGGTACATACAGGGTGATTGAGCGTAAATAGACCACATAGACTTCAAAGGAAACATAGAAAATGAGAAAAGGCGAATTTCAGATCCTGGTTTTGTGTTAGCTGATGAAATATAATCTATACAGAGATTTTTAGTTGGTGTGCTACTTATGTTAAATGAGTTATATAAATTTATTAAGGATAGAAATGCATTATCTTTATTTTTAATGATTATATTTTGTAATATAAATTTAATCATATAGATGGAACATTGGTCATCTATGAGCAATAAAACAATTTTTAGATGTTATATTGAAATGAAATAAACTTAAAAAATTGTATTCTCGTAGAATGAAAATGGGATCTTATATTTTCATTTATAAGTAATTTACCAGCAGGTTGATTATGTATTTTTAAATAATTTTTATATTAGTTGTAATGATTGTCACTAGTCTTCTTGACCTACTTTTTTGGTATGTAGGTCGCAATATTCAGAAATCAAATAATGTCTTGAAACCTTTAAGAAGAAGTGTAGGTTTTTTGAAGGGTTTTGCACTTGTGATATTTGTTTGAAATATTTAATCGCATATATTTGTAGATTCTAGTCATTGTCCATTTTACTTAGATAATCCACATCTTCCAAATTATAATCCACTTAGCCCATAATATTTGCTCAGTATTTGAAATCTTCAGATAAGTTTAAAACTTCTCTGTTTATTTTTATGTTCTTTATACTACTTTTAAGTCTCAAACTTTTCTATTTCAAACATGGGCTGTATATAAATCACATCTTTTTAGGTTGCAGTAACTATTTTTAGTTATAGATAAGAAAAATATAATTTTGTTATAATTATGTTTCGGGTATTTTAGTATTTCTCCATAAATTTTTAATAATATGTGCTTTTTTGTATCCAAATTGACAAATTAATTGTTGGATCATTCAGTATTTGTCTCAAAGTATTTCACATGTCTCTCTCTAAGTCTTCAATTAAACATAAGGGTTCTGTAAACAGTCTGAGAGGTTATGTTAAGACTCTTGTTTTAGATGATCGATCGGCAGGATTTCCTAATCTAGTGGGATTAAAATTGTGAATTTCAAGACTGTTGGTATGATTTTTGGTATTCGTAGTTCTCTTAGTTTCATATTTGATGCAAATATTTGAATTATTTTAAAAGTATGATAAGTTTTTTCGAGACAAAATATCAGTATTAATTGTGAAATGCAATGTGCTGCAAGTCTTTATTCTGACATTTGAACGTTTGAAAAATTCTGAAAACGGAAATCTGTTTCTCTTTGAGTTTTATAAATAAGGCAGTTATAATCATTCTTTGTCGATTTATTTAAATTTTGGATTTTATGAAGTAGTGATCTGTGATAAAAAGTATAAACTTAAAAGCAGAAATGGCATGTCAAGTGTCACCTCGAATGCAGACAGGTACTTCAGTCTATAAAAATGATTTCAAGAAAAGAATTACTTCATCACCGTTACCAACAAGACCGCAAAATAGGCTGAGGAAGAACAGACCTCATCCTAACAAGGTAATGTTTTTTTTTATTGGTGATAAAAAATGATGAAAAATTTAATCCTCGATTATTGCCAATATATAATAGGATTTCCCTTTTGTATGAATTTTTCTAGTAACAATAGTGCTGATATATTTTGTAAATTGATGTCTCTATCTAAATAGAGTATCCTTTTTCGATACAAACACTAAACGTCTTTATGTCCTTACTGAGCCGGTATTATAACACAATGGGATTAATGTTATGTCAACATCACATACATACTTATTCGTTTGTTGCCAAGACGATACTATTTATATTTTATCGAAGCAGTGTTCCTTTACAAATAATAAGAAGTAGGATTTAGGATTGGCCACACTTCTAGTCTCTAGATATATTAATTTTAGCTCTTTATTCACATTGCATGCTTGGTAGTTTGTAATATATACAACTAACAATTGAAAAAAGGGAACACTGCATTTAGTCGAGGGGGTCTGTCACGTTCAATAAATATCATATACAATAACACAATTACTCTTCGATCAAAAACTTCAATATGTTGTAAATATTGATTAAAGTATTTTCTTGCAGGACGCGAGTTGCCATAAACTTTCAGTGGGTTTTAGTGTGTATTGAAAGGTAGGTTTAGAATTCAAAGTGAGCCCAGAAATTTCTTAAAAAATGAATTATAGGAAAAGTGTAATCAAATTTTCAGAATTTCAGATTACATAGACAAAAATCTAAATTTGATTTAATGTTGTGCGCATAGTTTACTATTATTTATACTTGTGAAGAGACACTTCACCTGAAACACTTTAATATATTAATCATTTTCTATAAAAAATGTATAAATACTATTGTAGGCATTTCTGTTCAAGGAGATGAACATAAACAATTGTAATAGGATATGGCCTAGTGGTTTAAACCTTAAAGCACCCTGAATAGGGGTGTAATAAATTGGGTAGACGATTGCGGACCCTCCAAAATATAATAGCTCCCCACATATCAGTGTATAATCTTGTTCAGAGCGAAAGAAATTATTATAAAACTAAAATTATCAATATTATTGCAATTCTCGTTTTGTCTCATATTTTAGGATTTTCTTCTTCCATCACAAATTAACGATGGTATAGAATTACAAAAGAGAGTTCGTCGTGCAGTTCGAGAGTATCTGGATGAAATTTATTATCGTGAGGGCGATTCTAATTCATACTCACAAGCTCCTCCTCAGTTCATTCCTCCAAAAAATGACGAGGACCTAAGGCCGAGAGAAATTTTGATGCCAAAAAGTGAGATTTGATAAATATTTTGACATGTGAATTTTGGATATTTTATCCATACTTGAAGGTTTTAATTGTTCTAGTATAAAAGATTTAATAATAATAACATGATCCCTTTCTGCGAAATAGCAAGAATATTTTTTCTCTTGTTCAGTTGGATCATAATTCAACTTTTTCAGATAAAACAAGAGACTAAGATAAATGCTCTGTGGCCCCCTTGGGTGCTGAGGACCCTCTATAAGAGTCTATAAGAAACCTTCTTTGCTCCAGACTGCCCAATATATTTTATTGTCAAATTACTCTTTCTTTCTATTATTTCATGGTAGACACTCGTGCATCGGGATTTTATCATTGTAATATTTCATATCATTTTTTCGAATTTTACTAAAATGCCAAGTTATATTAACGAAAATATTCATGTAATTATTTAAATATAATACAAAATTATTTTGCTGTAGTTGTTTGTATAAAATATCTTTCAATATTCTGATATTATCGGTGTTATTTTAGATCAGAATATATACCGTAAATATTTATTCGAGACTTAGCATGTTTTAATTTTTTGCAGCGAGCAACAAATTGTATCGATCATACTCACATTATCAGGATTCCTCTCCAAATTTCCAAGTTACCGGTAAGACAACTTCTTTCGCCGCTAGAGAACGGCCATCTACAGCTGTTGCAATTGAAAGATCTCCACCCGGTTATCTACAAGCAGAAAGCAAAAGAGATCGTAAGTTGAAGATAATTCCTAATTTCGAAATTGTGAAGAGTTGAAGTTGGCCTGTCGGTAATTCTGCTGAAAGTAGGGTTGTAAGACATTATTTCATGTTTTTGGAGAGTCTGCAATCCTCTTGCGCGGTATACCATACCATTGTATTGCACCTTGAGGTTGAGGTGATGGGCATGGAATTCGAACTTGAAATCTATGATACGCTAATCCTAGCTACCTCCCCTCGTCCTCTCTTGCTGCTATTAAAATATTTAAGAATATTTTGTAACGAAATAGAAACCGCTTTGGTATTGATCTCTGCTGCAGTTGTGCATATCTTATATTTTGGCAATCGAGAATTCAAACACGCAATTCAATTTGCAAAATTATTGTTATAAATAAAGTGAATGTTCTAAATTTCATATGGTGTCTTTTAAAAACATACTATAAAACAGCAGTTATAATTGAATATTTATTTGATTTGACTTTTTTGCAAGATTGTTTGCAATGTGCATTCTATGAGCACTCGAAATTAAAACGTACTTACCGGCACTCTCAGTTAAATGCCCTATTTGTCTTCCACTTATGTTTCACCTTGGCTCACTTGTCCCTTGCACTGTGTATTAAAAGTACTTCTCCGCCTCTTATGTATTGTTGTGCTGACAAAGAAAGGCTTCAGATACAAAAGACTTTAATATTATCTTCAGTTTATTTTAATTGGTTTGAAATTTGAGCCTCACCTTTTCAGGCTTATGAGGTCCTCAAGACGTTATAGAGAAATCAATGGTCATCCATTACAGTACTTATATTGTTGAGAGTTGGTATACATACGTCTATGGCAGTGTTATTATGTCTTGAGAATAATGATGAAATGCATTTATTTTTTGTGGTGCTAAATGTATTTGGAGTTCAGCAGTTCTATCATGAATCCCAGATATTTGAAGTTAAAAATTCGGTACTCCCGTAGACCATAGTATGTGTACCAGGTCAGGCTATAATTTTCCTTATTTTAGCTCTATTACGAGTTCAGGGACTGCCTGTGTTAGCCAAGTGAATACACCCCTTGCCCATAGGTTTCAGTCCCTTTTACACAACTTGATGTAAAGTAGGCAAACAAAATTAGTTACCTCCATATTGGTACAAATACTTCGGGGCGCCAAAAATTTAGTCAAATTGAGTTTTAAATCTGGACATTTTTATAGATTTTGAATAATTGAAACTTGAAATGACAGTTTCTGAAATTTATTAGTATTTTTCAGAAATGTGTCAACAATGGTTCGATTTACAACATTGTAAAAATATGTTCTGAAATAATTATTGATAGGATTAATTTTTCCTATTTATCTGAAGGGAGAGGAAAGTTTATAAGATGTTTTAATCATGTGGTTACCAGTCTATGTTGGGTATCAATTAGTTAAACCAATTGCCTGTTTCAGAAGCATGGACTAGAAAAATTGATGACTTTGAAAATATATCGATTATGGTCATTGACAGTTTTAGATAAGTTCAGAATTATTATGTAAATACTCATTTTGCCAACATGAGTAATCACAATTCAATTTGAAGTATAGAGATGAGATATATATCTCAGAACATGTACTGGTGTAAAATCTCAGAACATGTACTCCCACAAACGACATTGGTCTAAATGTGTGAACCACAGGTTCTAGGTTAGTTATTGGTAAAGCTATGTCAGATCGTATTATTCTGTTTCAACTGATAATTTGTTCCCCTAATATGCGATGAAAATTTCTCTCAAATGGCAGAAGTTTCATAAACATAGTTCAGAAACATGGTATTTCACAAAGATAAACCAGACCTGATGGTCTGGAAGACTGTGCAAGGTCCACCTAAGTTATCCACTTTAATGATGAAAAAAGCTAGAAAGATGGCTGATACTGATTTTACATTACCACAAATAGGTAAGTTTTCTGCTATTCTCTGATTAACTACCTAATTAAACAATAAAGAAAATCAAAAGAATCAATATGTTTCAGGTTCTGTGAGAATAAGGCAAGAGGTTGAAGACAAACATAGAATTCAGACGGCGAGTCCTCAACCAAAAAAGTGGCAAAGAATAAGTTCTGCCGTTCCCACGCAGAAGAAATCACTTTGGACAAAGTAAGTAATTCCTAAAACATATACAATATCTTCTGGTTCCATCTTTCAGATTTATGCTGTTTAGATCAATATATCCTTGCATATAAGCCGACCCCATAAAAACGGCCCAAAAATGATAAATTTATAAAAAATTCTCATATAAGCCATGACCCTACAAATGGTAACGAGTTTTAGCTGTCGGAAGTAAGTTAGCATAATGTCATTTCGTTTGAGTGCAATCAGAGTTATGCATGCATAAGCCAAATTTTGAGTGCGATAAGAGTTAAGCATGTATATGCCAACCCCTTAGTTAGTAACCCCTTAACTGGTAACGCGCACCTACTAAATTAGAAACAAACAATCACTGTATTATTAATTAATATTTCTTCTTGGGTTTTTGTATGGATTTCAGATTGAAATTAAATAATTACGGTAACTGATATTTGAATTAAAAATTTAAAACTGTGAATTTTGATTTAAGGGTCAAGTTTTATTTTACAGTCCGACTCATACAAAGCGAGCATTGTCTGCGCCACCTACTCAAGGATATTCATATTATAAACAATCTACTGGTAATAACAATACCAAAGCTATGTATAAACCAGTACAAGATAAACTCAGTGCTTGGGCAGAAACTGCAAATGATTATGGTGAGCTATGTTTTAATATAATTTTTCATGTCGATATGTGAAATCAGAACAAGCAATTAATGATATCTAGGTATTGGAAAGTACTATGTACTGTAATATTATACGATTAAAATGATGCATTGCATTTTTTTTATAAGCTGAATTTCTTTTATTCACACTAATCTGGGGTGTATAATCTCGATACAGGAAGGCCAGATACAAATAACTGAGTGAAACTGCAGGCCGCACCTCTATTTAGGCTGTCTAGTAGTTGCAGGCACAAAAATTTTGGTTATTTATCTTATGACTAGGGCTGTAAGATTCGAATATTTCATTCTCGAATCCGAATTGGAATGTTTCGATTCAAATATTTCCGAATCTGATTCTATTTAGTATAACATCTCATTATTGTTAACTTCCTTTAAATTTGGAAGAACTATACCTCAAAGTGTGATAAAATATCAATAAAGAACTTGAAGAATGAGTCATGTTAATAGAAAAACACATTGAATGAATGCATCAACTACATAATATATTGAAAAAAAATATTTTTGTTACATAGAGAGAGGTACGCTCAGTTATATTTGCTTATCACATAAATTTATGTTTGCAACCAATACCGGATGTATAGTGATCGTTTCTTCCAAATTTAACCCTCATCCAAATGATAAACGCCAGTTAAACATGGGTTAGTACCGCTTGTGCCGTGATTTAAAAAAAGCAAATGATAGCAAGGGAAAACTCGCAGACCTATATTTTAAATGAGGAATAATGTTGTTATTATAATGACGTTACATAGGTAATTAAAAAAAAACGTTTATATAATGTCGTATTTGTAAAACTTCGTAACATATTAAATAGTCTAAAAAATTGAAAAAAAAACATTGGTTCCTCTAAAGCTCTAAGTCATATGGAATGCTCGAAATGTTACGACTTGGAACGCTGTAAACGTAGGGGAAATAAACGCTTTTGGTCGATGGTGAGACGAAATATAACAACCCCTGAGTGTTAAGACTTGGAAACGCTGTAAACGTAGAGAAAACAAACGCTTTTGGTCGATTATGACACTTAGACTCTTGGCTGCACCGTGCAATCGCCGCATGTTATCTAAATTATCATTCATTTTAAAATAGAATCAAGACGTTTTTTCCTAAATTGCTTCGATTCAATTCGAATTGAATTTGAATCGCTTTGATTCGAAATTCTGAAACTTACCGTACATCCCTACTTATGACATGCGTTGTTCGCTTTGCACAAGCTAGCTGGATTGGAATTACGCGCGCGTACCAGACTCCTCTGTGCCAATTTTGAATGGTGAGTGAACCCCGCAACGAGTTATTAATTTAGTTCAGTCTGTTCGCTATATAAAAAAAATGAAAAATATTCGATATTATTTTTTTTTTTAGAGAAACAAGTTGTGTATAATCTGCTCAACAAAGCTGCAAAACCGAATGAGGGACCACCTACTACTCCACCCTCACCTCAGGAAGCTTACCATTTACTTATGAGAGCAAAAAGTGTTCCTGCTCATCAACAAATCCCTCAAGATGAGAAAATTGCACCATGGTCACCATACTTTAATAATTTGAGAAGACAACAAAATAAACAAAGGAATTTGAATAGTGCGCCGGTCAAAAAGTTATACGGTCAGTTCGGTTTTCCTACGTCTATTTTCACCAATTAATATTTGTATACAGACTAAGATTATAATGCTCATAAAAATGGCATTTTTGTGACATCAGATTACTAATTTTGATTTTCTTTGTGAAGTCTCAGTTTTAAAAAAAAATTGACGGTCGAGAGGTTAAAGACTTACCGTATTTTGGCATCACATATTGCACATCTCTGATAAAAATCTCATGCACCCACAACCCACCCCAAGTGTAATAAATTGGGTAAGCTATGCTGAATCGGGTCTCGATATGGTTAGGTTGAAAATCCAGGAGAGACGATTCTGTATGAATTACTGCAAAGCTTTTCGCTGGTGTAAGCTGGTTCACGTAACCACTTGTTGTGGCTTCTCTGTTGCAACTTATTGAAACTACGTGCCGATGTTGACCTCTAATCTCTTCTTGGATGTTTCCCTAGTAAATGCGCTTTAAAACTTTTTCTTAGGTCTTGTTCCGAATGCTACTCAATATCCTCCTCGAGACCAGAGAATATATCGATTACCTGGACAAGATATGAGAGTTCCTGGAAATCCAGCAGATGAAAAAGAATTGAAAGAATATTTGAGCAAAATAGCTAAGTAAATGATCTTAACCTACTTTTTTCACTTTCATTATTATCAACCATGATTTTCCGATTTTTATGTAAGATTTTTAAACAATTTTCTGTCAAACCTAACTATATGGCCTCCAACAGGGTGACTCAAAAACAATGGAGGCAACCAGAAAAGAAGTATCTAATAGCTCCAATGCATAGTTATCCAAATACGCAAGGAACTAAGGATAAAGACTATAAGGTGACGTATGATCAAAAACAACCATTGAATAAAATGTATAAATAAATTACCTGCTATTCTAGTGACTTTGAAATACAATGCCTATTGATTGTCAGTTTTTTTTTCAGTTTATTATAGTAAAGTGCAAGACGCTGTAGCAACATGGTTTCCCCTAAACCAACTATACTGGATAAAATCAATTTTTTAGCTAGCAATCAGTTCTGACATATTTTTATCCTGCATTGTATTCGGGAAGACCTATGAAATCAATTCTTTGCTCAATAGATGAACTTTGTGATTCTTTTTTATTTACCATTAAAATTCAAATCGTTCTGTTCAATTGCCCATATTTTACGCTACTTAAATTTTGCTATATTTTCAAAAGTAGAATCTAAATTTATTTTCCTAAACTCCTTTTATTTCTGTATTTCATGCGTAAAAAATAAATAGTATAAAAGTATTTTTCTTCTTCTTTAGTGCGATGTCAGTTTCTTCCAGTCTGTACGAGCTCCATTCAAAAGTCATTTCATTATTCATCCAGATTTTACTTCAGAAAATTTTATTCAAAAGAAAAGAGCTGATCAAATGGTTTCACACATTCGCTATTAAAAATTTAGATAATTTAGAATAAGAGTTCAAAAAATTGTTTCAATTTGAAGATTCTGAGGAGAATACAAATAAAAAAATCTTACGGTAAACTTGATTCCACTCGAAGATATGTTTATGATGTTACACTCCATTATTTATAACTTTTCTAATTGAATCGGTATCTTATAAAAGCAATTTTGAATTGCAAGTTGTTGCAAAAAGAATTTGAGGTTTTCCCAACTAGCTTAGTTGTCACTGTATCATTATTGTATTAACACATTATATTTGAATTACTGTAGACAACAACACAATAAATGCACTTTGCACTTTTTTTATTTCTTTTTTTACCATCTCATTTTATTATTTTTCTTCTTAGCTTGTTAATTTGTGTATAGTGCCAAAAAATCTGTTAAGACATTTATGTGCACCATCAGCTTAGTCTTGTTCTTCACATTCTCATGGGAAATATTCCTATTTTCTCTTACTTATAGATTTTAGAATGTTTTCTCATATTTACTTTTTTATTTAATGCCCTTTGATTTTTTTTAAATTTCTGTAAACTTCCTGCTGTAATTTTGACGTAATTAAAATGAGATTCGAATGACTTGATATTATTGTTGTTACTAAGGGGTGTAGTCTGCATATGTTCTTGAAACTTAGACACAACCAGTGAATCACTTTTGAATTTAATGGTTGGACGCGTAGTGGCGGAACTACAAATTAATCTCTGAACATAATTTGTCAATGATCGACGTCTCGCACGCATAGAGCAGCTAGTGGAAGTCGATTGGATAAGAGCCAATACTTCAACTATCAATGAATAGTACGTAGAATACGAATTATCCTGTGGGAGAGGAAAGTCGATAAGACAGCATAATCATATGGCGAACCACGTCCTCTCGTCCGGCCACCAGTCCATGTCATAGTCAAGTTTTTTTTCCCCATTCAGTAAAAAATAAGATACGAAATCAACAAAATACAAAACTGAAAACACATTTACTGGCAAAGGGAAGTAGCGGGGAACCAGGAATGGTCATCAAGCAGCGACACCATGTCGGGTATGAAAATTGTTAACCCACTGTTTGATCCAGATTTATGGACTCGAATGAATTATACATTCAACGCAACATGTATTGGGGATATGGACGAAATAACCTAATTCCAATACGTTTCCGTTGAGTTAGGAAAGCCCGCCCAAACATTTGTAATCTGAGAGAGATTTTAGGATATGATTGTATTCAATGACACATTTTCATCAACACCACGCGACGGAGCTCGACGGATTTGATGTTTTCAACCATAATTGGACACGTTAGTGGACATAACGATCGTTTTGGTATTTTTGTTGTTCTTGTTCTTATTTGTCTTCTTCTTGGTATCGTTATGAAAAAATCGCTTTTCTCGTTGATTACTGGACCAATTGCTTTGAAATTTTCAGTGAGTAAAGATTATATTTTTCCCCAGAAGGCTATTACTTTTATTTATTCTTAAATTTTATATGAATCCTATGAGATATGATATTTCATACAAAATTTCGCGGTATTTATTTTTACTCATGGGAACACTGTTTTACACTTATTTCAAGCGGTTTCGCGATCGATTGTCTTGCTCAGTACTACAGCTACTGTAGGTCGGTACTGGTAAGTTGCCATACCGGTACCGTAACGCAGTGAAATTGACTTATTCCTTCCGCGGTATTACTAATGCTGCAATGCAAGTTTTATAGCCTATCGTATGCGGAACGGAATATCAGACCTACAGGTTCGGTACCGGTACTGGTAGCTCAGTACGTAAGTACGATACTGGTACTGGTGCCGGTACCGGTGTCTTACCACAATGAAATTACCGTAACTTATTCTTTCACGGTCCTACCAGTGCAGTAATGCAAGCGTTGTAGCACTTGTAGCCTACTATATTTGTTTATTTTGATGAGAGTCTACTGGAAACAACATAAAATTTGAAAGGGAAGAATTGTTCTGTGATCAATTATCTGTCCTAAAGTGTAAACAACATAAAATTTGCAAGGGAACAATGTTCTGTGATCAATTACCGTATATGGCCTACAGTGTACAGGTAAGATGCTGGCTGACTGCTAACTCAGTACCGCACCTACGTTAGGTACCGGTACCGCCGTGAATTCATCTCTCATCTCTTTGTTGGACACGTAGTGGACATAACGATCGTTTCAATATTATGTTGTTGTTGTTGTTCTTTGACACGTTTTTAAAAAGTCGCTTTTCTCTTCGAATACTGGACCAATTGCTTTGAAATTTTCAGTGGTTAAAGATAAAAATTTTCTCCAGAAGGCTATTACTTTTTTTTTCGCTATGACGTCATCAAAATTATGTGACTCTACGTGTCCATATATTTGAGCGTAGCTCTCTTGTTATCTGTCAAATCAAGAGGCAAAAAGCCTTCTCAGCTCGGCCACAATATCTATTGTATAAATCTCAAAACGTCTATCCTGCCTCTGTGTTGGTTTTCGTTTTTCACAAAGATACTATAGCAAGAATTGAAAGGATTATATTAATTTCACTGCACATTGGCGCATATATAATTATTCCTCATATTTTATGATGGGTTAGCATGGACTTACTTAAGCCTAGTGAAAAATTTATTAAAACCAAATAAAACTTACTTATAAATGATATATACACTTATTATCTTGAGTGAATTGTCAATTCGATAAGTTACTAAATTAAACTCGGAATTCCATAGAATGAGACAATACGAGTTCATGATGAATGGCGAATTGCATAACGCATTTGATATGAAATTTCCAATTTCGGTAACAGCCATGGGACCAGGGACAATAGTGGTCGCTGTAGGTAAAAGCATTAGTAAGAGTGATTATGCATGACTCATGCAGCATGAGGGACAGTGTATTGTTGACTCTCGACAGACGCTACTCAGCAGGGTATTTACTGGAATATATACCAGTCATTCTGTGTGATATGTTTTAGCGTTTTTCTTTTTAAGTTAAGTTTTTGTCATCTCAAAATCCTTTCGACTAGTTTTTCTCTTCAGAATCCCAAGATTAAATAAATTGGGAGATTTTAACAAGGCAATTTTCAGTTTTATCTTTTTATCTGACATTTTTACTGACAGTCATGCACGTGGATACCCGATTAATTAGAGGGAATTAAACCACATATATACTCGGTTCTGTAATTTTAGCGACGTCGGAGAAGGACTTTAACGAAGGATTCATGGTCCTTACACTTCGATATATGATTCAGTTTTCCATTTGTGTTTTGGTATAGAGTATATATAAGTTGATTACTACCGTAGTATGTGTACCGGGTAAGGATTACACCAGGGTGGTCCAAACCCAGGCCCAGGCTTCATTATCTATGGCCTGCGTCGCCCATGCGGGAGGGTAAACAAAAAATTGAACAAAACAAAATTTGGTGTTGTTTCGTCATAAAAATAACCAAAAAAATCGTTTGACATATTGTTATGTTACATCACTAATGTCACTGAATTGACTAGAGTTATGGCTAGCTGAGGCAACCAGCGAAGTTGAATAATGTGCTTGGCTAATCGGAATTGTTGGCTTTCTCGCTTTTGTGTCAGGAATATATGCTAACAAAATAGACTTAAATAAATAACTGAAAATCGAATGAGGAATCTATTAGCCTTGGTTGGCTATGCCTGATAACTAAATATTAATGTTATGGCTGAACAATATAATTCCTGCTGGGTGGTTTTTTCGCAATCAGCCCAAATAGTATTACAAAAAATGCTGCTTTTAGGCTATGTCAGAAAATTTAGTAATTACCCTCCTGTATCTCAAATTTATAAAATTCGGTATTCAATCAATCTGCAGTTATTTATAAGTTACGCTCCTGTGGCCCGCGAACACATCAAAAATGATAGTATGGCCTGCGAGGCCATCAACGCTGGACCACCCTGGATTCGACCATACTTTTATTCCGATTAACCTTATTTTATTTCTATTACGAGTTCGGGGACTATCTGTGTTAGCCAAGTGAATATACCCCTGCCCATATCAAGGCTTCCGTCCCTTTGCACAACTTGATGGTAAGTGGGCGAACAAAATTAGTTACCTCTACATTGGTACACACTTCTGTAATATATTCGTTTCTCACTTTACATTTTTTTGTAGTGCCGGGGGGCGATGAAGTTGTATAAGCTACTGTAGGGGGGCGATGGTCAAAAAAGTTTGGGAACCACTGTTCTAGCGTATGGCATTTTATAAACTATTGGTTGCGTGTACAATATAAGATGGAGCCTGCATGAGTTGTAACATGAGCATCTGTGGCATTTACATTTTCCTCATTTCGACTTGTATTTCCAAATCTCTTGACTTCCAAATTTCGTACCCACCTGTCAGCAGAAATTAACCGAAATATCTGCATTCTCTTATCCCTTCATTTTTAGTGGATAAATCTCTGGGAATAGTATGTAGATTCATTACGAAAAGCAGAGCCAAGACTATTCCGCTAATCATCTGACATTATGCACTTTTGAAGGCCGCGAGACCTTCAATTCGCTTCAAGGTCGCAAGCGCCTGGTGCCGCCAATACGCACTCTAGCAGCATACACCTCGATGGTCATTTAAACGTAGCAAAGGCTGCCAGTTAACCATAGGGATGGCGGAATCGAGTCTGGATTCGATTACAGAATCGATTCTTTGCGGAATCGACTAGAATCGATTTCGATGCACTGGAATCGATTCTCGAGTTCAAAACTTTGATTGCAAACAATATGCAACGTTTTGTGGCAATTCCTTTACATATATATATATGTATAAACTGCTTCACTGCTATGTTTAGTTGCTACGATGCCGCAAACTTCACTATATATTACACCGTATATATATATTTTTTTTTTCGCCAGAAAGCTTTAACGTTTATTTATTTTAAAAATCTCTGTGGGTTCTGAGGGATTCGTTTTTATTGTGTGATTTTGTCTCCTGTGAAAGATTGGATACTCATATTACTTAATTTCGGCCTCCTTTTCCGTCCAGAATTTGAACATCGTGCTCTTGTTTGATTTCGTATGGTATTGCTTAGGTGGGTATGTTTTTTCGGTAAGATATGTCGAGGAATCGAGATTCGGAATTGGATAAGAATCGAATACTTGTAAGTACTCATACTTGACATCCTTAATGGTAAGCCTATTCACAACTAATA